AGTTTTTAAATAAAATAAACCCATGTAACTGTTTGACATGTGTGGTAGTCTTATTATAGTTTACTGATAGTTTATTTATAAATGATTGTTTTGAGTTAGCCTGAGAACTGTTTCATTTTACTTTGACTTGCAGAAGTGTCCCATTTTTAGTTATGTCTCATATAATAAATCAAAATCAATCTCAATATAGAATCACTTTCAAAGTCTTTAACTTTTGCTTTACAGTACAGTAGTCCCTCGATACTTCGAGGTTTGACTTTCGCAGACTCACTCTTTCGCGGGTTTGCAACGTAAGCTTGTACACATTTGTTTCCCAGTGGACTGGCTGCTCGGTAATTGCCGAGTGACCCTCTCCTTTCTCTTTCTGAGGCTGTCAGCCTAAGAAAGAGAAAGGAGGGGCAGAGTGTGGGGTATATATTTCCTCATCGCTGCTGTGGGAGCTTCAGTGAGGTGGATACCAGAGTGAGCAGCATAGATTGTTTATTTAAAATAATTCGGCACGACCCAATCCAAGCCTTTTCATGAACCAAGCCAACTCAAAATATTTCCTGAACCGGGAAATATCCTGGTGCTCCTGATGGCCATTCCGCACCCGGGCGCAGATTAGCTCAGTAACCGTAGCATCAGTCAAGAGCAGTGATGCTCTCTCTTGCTGTGCTGTTTTAGAGTGTTTAAAGAGTTCAAAACATTGCAAAAGTGTGAGAAGGGTTTATAAAGCCTTAAATTATACCGGTGATGCAAAAATAAATAAAACATCCCTACTTCATGGATTTTCACCTATCACAGGGGTTTTGGGAACGTAACCCCCCTGCGATAAGTGAGGGACTACTGTATATGTTGAATTTTGTAAATAAAACAGAAAATCCAAACAATATCAACTTTTTTGATTCTATTGTAATTGTAGTAGTTAATGGGGGAAAACAACTATAATACTGGGATGGACAAAAAAAAAAATCACCTATCTGCATATTATGAATATTCCTTAGTCTTCCAACTTTAATTTTGAGTTAGAAAAACATTAAAGTTTTTAAGTAACTTATTTTTCTCCATAAATGTCGTATAAGTCCTGACTCAACCTTATTAGATTTATCTACGTAGATTATAGAGCATGCAGCAGGACCCTCATTCAAGGAAGTGTAATTTATTGACATGTTTAGGATTCCTCTAAATGAATACTGTTTAAATATATTTTGCAGTAGCTGAAGAAGAATTTAACCTGTTCTCACAAAAGTCATGGCATGAACTAGTCATCAAATTTGGCTGATCCCAACATGAGACGGAAGACGGAAGACGAAAGACTCCGTCTTCTATTCAATGATCGAGAGTGCCGGCATTCTTTATATGACCCAGTCCCAGACTAACTGGATTGGTAAAATGAGTTATTGTATTGTTTGAGATCGACGTCACAGTGCTAAATTGCTAGTTGTTGAGGTTCAAACATAACATAGTGTCTTTGTCACATTTGGAAATGGTTTGTATAAAAAGGAAATGAATGCATTTCAAATGTTTTGGTGCTTGTTACTCCTGACAACAAAACAACTCTGATTTTGGCAGTCACCATGCTGACTCACTCGTATTCCCAAATGGGAAAATCTCCCCAGTCAAAAAGATCTTGACAGACCTTTTATGTCCTCCTTTCTTACTCCAAACACATAGATGAACATGCAGTTTTTTGACAAGGCGTCAAAAAATTGGTTAAGACTTGGCAAGATAAAGCGATGATAAAAACTGTAAATAAAAGTAGGTATAGTAAAATATTTGTTCAAAGAAGAAAGAAATTAAGTTCCTTTAAATCCTAATCATCTTCTGGCCTCAAATCTGAATGACTTTGGTTGAGAGCACGTGAATCTGCCTTTCAGAAGGTTTAGTCCTTTTCCACAAACAGTTGGACCACTGATTTCATGTAAACGCCTTTTTATAGTGCCAGTTGAAGAAAAGCGCACTCCTGGGAGTGAAGAGCCATGCTTCTAAGCAGCCATCACTCAGATTAAAGTCCTCCACTGGTTTGGTTCAAAGAGGTCAAACCCACTTTCTTCATAAACTGGTCTGTGGATTGTGATGCAGGCTTGATGGGGCACAGTTTTCCACAGTGAGGAAGTTTGTTAATAAAAGTTGTTTCGGTTTGACCCATCTGTTGAGTAACCACCCTGCACCATTAAAGCTGCAGCTTTTTTCCTTGCAGAGAAGAGGTGAACTCGCACTATGTTGCATTCTCACTTCCCTTTTTGCCAGCTGCAGTGATGTTTGTCCGCCTGTTCTTTAATCTGTGGAGTGATTTCAACCAGATGGTTTTCCACTTTAAAGGCAACATTTCTGTTTTTTGGAAGTTTTTCTAGTGGATGAATGTGAACTTTTTTATTTTTTATTTTTAGATTTGACTGGAAATACTTGCTTCCCCATGTTGGCTTATTGCTCACTTCCCATGGCAGTGTTAAAAATGGATAACATCCAAAGACACAACAACGTTTATAAGAATAAAGCAAAACAGTGATCATATATTACACTTGAATATAATAGAAGTTTTAGTTTTTAGTTAATAAACTGTCAGCAGAGGCAAACTCTTTTCTAACGTTGACTGTTTCAGCTTCTTAACAATTCACCAGTACATAATCTGATAAATTACTTTAAACGGTGCAATGACTCCACCAAATAAGTGTTTCCATTATTTACACAAGTGTATAAATGGACTTTACGACTTGTTGAAGTAAAACATGGTTGGCTTTTGAACTCGGTCAATTTAATCCTTTTTACTTTCCATTACAGTAGTCCCTCAATACTTGGTGGTTCAACTTTCGAGTACTCATTATTTCGTTTTCAATGTAAGATTGTACCCCCTCCTTTCTCTTTCTGAGGCAAAGAGAAAGGAGGAGTTGGGGTCTGTCTTTCCCTATCACTACTGCTCAGTAGTGAATCGGTAAAAAAAAAAAAGCGGCTGAGTGCGGCTCACTCGGGTATGACAGACCCCTCCACCCCTCCTTTCTCTTTCTGAGGCTGTCACAGCAGAGCAGACGCACAAAACAGGTGGGCGTGCAACAAACAGCCTTGGAAAACGAAAGGAGGGGGCGGGGTCTGTCTTATACCAGAGTGAGCTAGATGAGCGGCATGAATTGTTTATTTAAAATAATCAAGCACGACCCGACCCAAATCTGTCTGCTCTCTTCCGTTGTGCTCTTTTAGAGCGTTTGGAGAGTTTTGAACATTGTTAAGAACATTGCAAGAGTGTGGGAAGGGTTTATAAAGCCGTAAAATATATATAAATACTAAAATAAATATAGCGTCCCTACTTCTAGACTTTCACCGATCCCGGTGATGATTGAAACGTAACCCCCACAATAAGTGAGGGACTACTGTATTTCAGTTTTTTTATTATTCAAACCAAAAGTTAATTTGATTATTGTAAATGAAGTTTACAACAAAAATGTTTTTTAATCTAAAATTAATTTTAAACAAAGTCCACAATTCCATATAAAAATTCACAAGAATAATCTGAGCATTATTCCGAGATTGTGGAAAATCTAATTTTCAGTGATTCTAATATTGTGAATAAATGAATTGTAAGCAATTCAGTATATTCCAAATACTACAGTGTAATTTAAATATTCAATTCAAAACACTAAACTTTAATATTTTGATACCTACACTAAATTTGTATTGAATTATTATATTTTCATATCGGCTAGTCTTTTCAAAAAATACATTTTTTGAGGGTGGACATAAGATGGCAAGGTGGCTCAGTTGGTAGAGCTGTTACCTCTCAGTGACAAGGTGTAGTTTGCATGTTCTCTCCATGCAGGCTTGGGTTTTCTCCAGGTACTCCAGTTTCCTCCCACAGGCCAAAAACATGCATGTTAGGCTGATTGGTAACTCTAAATTGTCCCTAGGTGTGAGTGAGAGAGTGAATGGTTGTTTGTCTCGTTTGTCTCTATGTGTCCCTGTGATGGACTTGCGACCCGTCCAGGGTGTACCCCGCCCCTCGCACAGTGATTGCTGGACATGGGCACCGGCGACCCCCGTGACCCAAAATGGAATAAGCGGGTAAAGAAAATGGATGGATGGATGCACAAGAGAAAGAAGGAGGTCCCATCTAAACCATTCATGTTTTTAAGATCTCTTGTAAAAGCACTTAAAGAGCTGTAAGAGATTTGGGGTTTGGACTGATTAATAAACGGCTCCTTCTCTTCAGTCCATGGTTGGAGCATTATGACGATTCAAATAACTCGCTGGAATAATCTGATCAATGAATCAATTTTCCTGATGATAAAAGCCACATGAACTGATTCGGTCTTCCCACACTCACAAAGTGAGATGAATTTAGGAATCGTCGGAGCTTCTGGTTGAGTTATTACTTTGCTCCTAAATACGTACATAAGCAGTTTGTGGATTTTTTTTCTTCTTCATTCATTACAGAAACATTTCAGTTTTTAAATTCATATTAAACCCTTCTTGTTTTCTGGCAGTCTATCTAGTAAAATGAATATTGTCTCTTATTCAGCAGAAACAATTTGAGGGTTTCTCTTATATGGGGAAATCTCTGTGGGAGCAATTATACTCTAGCAACTTTGGCTGGTATGAAATATTAATTTCCCCCTTTTGACTATAAATGATTTTTTAAACTATCGAGTGTTTTTGTTTTTCCTTTTTAACAATTCCTCTGAGAATCCGCTTTGCATCAACCTTCAAAGATACAAGAGAATGTTAGCTCACAGTTAGAAAAGTACCGGTATACTTAAAAATGACCAGCTGTGAGTCACATATATCAGATTAACTCTGATATTCTGATTTGACCCTCATTCAAATTCATTATTGCTCTTTGGTGGCTGTAAAAACTTAACCAATCCAATAATGAAAAGCAAAATGTCTCGATTTAATTACACAGTCTTAAGCTGCTTTATGTTCAGTTCATTGAGTCCCAGCAGTCCAAGATGAACTACATATCTGTATTTTTTAATTACCGGTATTCCTTTTGATGACGTTGCCTACTTATCGTCACTGCTTTACAGACGGTGGACATCCATAAAGAGAAGGTTGCCAGGCGGGAGATTGGGATCCTGACCACGAATAAAAACACGTCAAGGACTCACAAGATCATAGCACCAGCCAACATGGAGCGACCAGTCAGATACATCAGGAAGCCCATTGACTACACTGTCCTGGACGATGTCGGCCATGGTGTTAAGGTGAGCACATTTTTTTTTTACTTGTATTTTTTTCTTTCTTGCTTTAGAAAACTTCAACGCTCAATCTGTTTAGTTCTGCCTCTGTTTTTTTCTTCTTCAATTCTTCCTGTCTAATTCATCCTCCAACCCCCTTCTTTGGTTTCTTGCCAAAGGTGTTCCTATTTTTCTCCTTCTCTTTTCTGGCATTGAGTCTTTTCCTTGCTCACGCTCGTGTCTCTTGTGATTTTCTCTTTCATCTTCAGAAAGCACCTCTTTCTGACCCTACAGGAATGTTTCTGAGTGTGGGATGGTGGGAACCAGTTGGGGGTGGAGATGAGCTAGAAAAAGATTACATCATATAGCTTTTGGGGAACAGAAGCAACTCTATTCTTGTAATTTTATGGCAATAGTAGAGACTGATTTTGTGAGACATTTTTAAAAGCACTTAAGCTTTTGTAATCTTGTTTTGGAGTTATTTGGATACCATTCAGTTCAATCTGATCGGTGGGGAAGAAGCTTTTTGATTTGATAAACATCTCTGCCATTAAGGCTTGCACTCAGGGTCATGAGATTGTCCTGACGTGACATAATTTCCTGTTGCTTACATGCATTCTTTGCCACTTTTATTCTTCTGAGTGTTGTTTTCTCCATCAATCAGACAATCAATTACAGTTATCAGACAGATTGAATTAGAGGCCCAACACCATCTCATAGCCTTACAGGACATAAGTCAGGATAGATTCACTCTTAGTGCACAGAAGTATGTTTAATTCCTCCACCATATTTAATGAGATGTTTATTTTTAGTTTGTGTTTATCTATTCTCACAAAACAGGAGTTACTAGTAATATTGCGTTTGTAAAATTCATCCATTTCTTGTTAAAGCAAATGAATATGCTGTTATTTGTTTCCAAGAATATCACAACCTCATCAAGCATTTATAGTTGCAATTCAGTGATATACTGGTTACAGGAAATAGCATGTAGCTTCTCATAAATGTACTTATTTTTAAATCCTGTTTAAGTAAACAAAATACAAAGTGTAAAATAGAAACTCAAGCGCCAAGTTGTTCTGTTTAATCAACCTTGTTGAGTTTTGACTCCATAGCTGATACAGGCGTTTAAATACATCATCATGCTAATTTATATGACTGTTTAGTCACTTGGCAAATAATTTTATTCAAGGCATCCTAAAAATGAGTAAAATTCAAGCATCGGTACAATCAGAATCAGAATTTATTGTCATTGCACAGAAGCACAACGAAATTACATTTCAGTACAGCCCGTCCAAAGAAACAACCAAACAACAGACATGGGAGATGGGGTGCATGAGGCTGCAGCCTCATGAGAGGCGCTGCCTTTTTTTTGTTAGATAAAGAAAAGGAAACACGAGGAAAGAGGAGATACAAAAAAATTTGTTGCAAAAAAGTTGCAAGTTGCAAAAATAAAAAAACCTCAGCACAAAAAAGGATAAAAAATAAGAAACCTGTAACTGTAGTTAAAGAATAGATTCAAGTGAAACCAACTGTGAAATAAGAGCCAGTCCAATCTTTAACGTCTCTGTGAAAGGTGATGGCAAAATGTTTGGCACACCTCAAATATTGCTACTGTCAACTATTTCTGACCAATTAACCATAGCAGAATGAAGCCTTTTTAAGAAGCTTTTACAATTTTTAAAATCTATTATTCAAACATATTTTGAGTAATGAACTTAAATAGTTCAGATCTTTTGATCACAAAGTTAACACTTAATTTCTTACCTATCATAAATCTCTCTTGAACAACCTGTGTTTGAAGAAAAAAAATAGACCATATTGATGAGATACCTGCATAAAAATGTATAACTTAACATCTAATAAGCACAGTCTGAAAGCAACTCGAATCTCAAAATTATCAGTTTACACAAACTGCACTTCACAATTTTTGTTTGTTTCACATTGTGAATGTTCCAGTTGAAACAATATTTCTACAAGTAGTGCCTGAGACTGAAGCTGCAGCTAGCTGCCATTTCTTTGCACTCACAAAAAGCTATATATTTGTATCTAAACAACCATGTAATGCAAAAGATTTATGCAGTATTTATAAAATAAGGTTTCCATGAACTGGTATGAATTTTTTGAGAGTGCAATTGTTTTAAAAATTGCAACAAGCCACTTTAGTTTTTGACTAGCCATTAGCTTGTTATTCTAATCACATTTAAACTATTTCTCAAAATTCAGTTCATTTAAAGACGAGACCTGCAACAGGTAAGATACTGGTTTTGTTTTTTTTCCCCCCATAGAATCCCCGTTCAATTGTCCATAATCCATAATTTAATCTTGGACAGCAGTGGTTTATATTTGACTGTGCTGTCTGAAAACAATCTGCACTACAATAGAAGTTTTGCATAAGAAATTCAAATGAGTGTAACTATTGAGCTTCCCAGCTGATTTAAAGCCGCTTGCTGTTTATTTTAGGAACATTGTAGTTTACTTTGAGCCAAATCTCTTTAGATTCTCTCCTTGAAATGGGTTCATATGTGCCGTCTTTAGTCGGTGAATGTGGTGTAACAAAAACACCCACACATTTATGCTGTAGTCCTCATCCCAAAATAACTCTAATATCACAACCCAAAGAGCCAATCAATACTTGATGTCAATACTCCATCTTAATTCATAAAGTGTCTGAGCTGTCAGAGGCCTGACTTTGTTTACTTACTGACCAGACTCAATCGTATAATGATAATAAATAATCCTGTCTATTGGCTTCAGTTTACCGTTAAACCCATTGCAGCTGCCTGAGGGTTCCTGCTGGCCTAAATGTTGGTTTTGTTTTCCACAAAGTGAGTGTTGTTGAGCACATTTAAAATGAAGAGAAAATGTCATGCTACGGTTGCATGCAGTAATTAAAAAAAGCTTTTGTTGAGTCTGATTAAGATGAAAATAAAGATAAAAAGAGAGCAAGCAAAATACATGTAAACTGATTATAATCTGAAGAGTGCCATATCAGTATGGACTGTCCTCCATCTTTGACACTCTAATTAGCAAGAAATGTAGAATCAATAAAACTTATTGGCAAAATTTGTGGCTGGATGTCAACTACCATGTGTTCTTGTTTCCCTACAAAAACTGCTGAAGCGACAAAAAAATGGGTCAACAATGGCGGCATCCATAGAACAGCTGTAAACATGATAAAAGTTACGTAACAATCTCATGCTGCACTCTACAAACGCTCTGTCTGCTCTGCCGTGGTGTTGTGGTGAACTTATGGTGCTTTAAACGTAACAAACGCTGCCTTTGCATGTTTTTCTTCTCAGTGGTATATTTCTTTGTGTTTCTGACTTTTGTATCATGTAAATGTGACACTGTTCACATTATCATGTAGTTGCTGCTGCATAAATGATGTGTTTCTGTATTGTGTTGTAAGAGTACCAACGACGTCTACACCATGTCCTTTTCAGTACTGGTTGTGTACTGGGTTTAGTAACATGATGATGTGCACCAAAAAAAGACCAACATGTTATATTTGCTTTTTATTATTTTCAGCCTGAGTTTTTTTTTTTATTGTGGTAACAAGAACTAAACTCATATTTTCTACATAGTTTGCAACATCCACAACACACGATTCATGTGCACTTCTGCATTGAGGTGGTAACTGGGTCTCCAAATGGGAAGACTTGGTCCAGATATCTTTTTATCTCAATATCCCTCAGTCCTAGAAATATTGGCTGCTGTTCACAGAAAGATGGTCTTTGGAGTATACCGGATTAGTTCCAGGCTGAACCCTTGAAAACAGTTTTCTGCTTCACAACAAAAGCCTGCTGGTGTGTCAGTAGCTGAATTCTTTTCTTTTGAAACAGCAGTTGTTAGAAGTGATGTTTTTTTTATTTTTATTATTATTCTTTTTTACTGTAGATTAATATATTTTTAGGGATTATGCTGAGTGAGTCTTTTTAAAAATGAGATTAAAGTGAGTCATCAATAGAGTTGCATTCGGGCCCAATAAATCCGGCCCAGCCTGTAGCCATCATTTCCAAATCCCACCCGACAAATTAACAGTAATTACAGGTCCGAACCCGACCCCCCCCCCCCCCAACATTTTAAATTAAGCTTCGACTGCTTATATAGTTATTAACGGTCGGCAGACGTGCGCGGCTAAGGGGGCAGAAGATCGGAGCTGAGGGGGTGTTTGTCCTTTCATGGTCGTCAAAGCACATTAAATCCCTGCTTCTGCCTGCATTCTGCATTATTCAGACACAGACCCTGCTCTGACATGTCGGATATTTTGTGATCTCACCTGTTTGGGTCGTCAGCCATGCGCGTCCGCTGAGTGCAGCTGAATCTTTTTTAAATTATACCACCACCTTCTAAAGGAAAGAACAAAGATGTCTCATTTGTTTGAATGTCTTTCTTTACTTTAACTGAACTTTTTTTTTTTTTTTACCTCTTTCAAAGCTAGTCAGCGCACAGTGAAATGGCCGCATGCGGCTGGTGAAAGTATGGCAGGCCATGTTGCCATATAATTGGATCATCAGCCCTGTGCGTCCACTGACGCAATCAAAAGTCCAACACTGGCCCGACCTGCACATTATTATGGCCCGGCTTGGGCCGGGCTCCAGGTTCGGGTTAGAAATGACTGCTCTAGTCATCAGGGACTAGAGTTGTTCTCGGGTCCAAATAATCCAAACCAACCTGACCCCTGCCTGCAGCCATCATCTCCGAACCCCACCCGATCCGATGAATTAACAGTAATTACAGGTCCAAATCCAAAAAAATCCCAGACATTTTAGTTGAGCTTTGACTGCTTATATCACCAACTATTATTAACGGTCGGTGGATGCACGCGGCTGAGGGGGGCAGAACATCACAGCTGAAGAGCAGTCAAAGCACATTCAATGCTTCCCCTGCTTCTGCCTGCATCCTGCTCTGACATGTCGGATATCTTGTGATCTCACCTGTTTGGGTTGTTGGTCACGCGTGTCTGCTGAGTGCAGCGGCTGAATGAACGTCCATTTGAGCTGATGGATCGCTTCCTTGCAATACAGTCCCATTTGAAGCCTTACTGAACTTTTTACCTTTTTCAACCAGCCGGTCAGCATGTGGTGAAATGGCCGTGTGCGGCAGGTGCCTGTATGGCAAACCATGTTTGCATATATTGGATTGTCGGCCGCGCACGTCCCTGACGCAATAAAAAGCCAAACACCGACCTGACCCACACATTAAGCACATTATTATGGTCCGGTCCGAATCCGGGTCGGGCGGGGCTGGGCTCTGGGTTTGGGTTAGAAATGACCGCTCTATCAGGGACTACAGTGGCCTTAAGGAGTGTAGATGCACCACTAGTAGCTCCTTTATCACAGATCAGTAGATTTATCCCAGCACAAAATGCTAAATCTGCATGAATCTGATAATATTCACAATGTTGAGCCTGTCTGTCCATAATCTTATCATTGAAACATTGTCATAATGATTTAGAAGATAAATGAGATTTGACGCAGATTCTGACAGATCCACTCCATGGTGAGTTCAGGTTGCTTCCATCTGGACGCGGCTCTCTGCTGCCCAGATGTAGAACGAACAGACTGAAAAACTCATTCATCCCTGTAGCGATCAGGCTTCTCAACGAACTGGTATTTTAATGTCTTGTCTACTGTGGATGTTTTTTGTACCTAATGACTGTGAAATTAATTGCCTCTTGGGGATAATAAAGAAACTTTAGCTTGTATCATCTCTACCATAAAACAGTTAAAATCTTGTTGAGAGGTGCATCTGAATGTAAATTTTTCCAGTCACAGTTGAGTTGAAAGTTTTATTGAAAGAGGCAAACATCCATCCTCCTTTCTCACTCTCTCACTCACACCTAGGGACAATTTAGAGTTGCCAATCAGCCTAACATGCATGTTTTTGGTCTGTGGGAGGAAGTCTGAGCGCCTGGAGAAAACTTACGCCTGCACGGAGAGAACATGCAAACTCCACCCAGAAAGGTCCCCCGGCTGGAATTTGTTCCGGCGACCTTCTCGCTGAGAGGCAACAGCTCTACCAATTGAGCCACCGTGCCACAAGAAGCAAACAACTCTGCTAAATTACTGTGGATTTGATCTCATTGTGTCTTTGTCTTGTGCATTTGTGGAGCTATAATGCTTCTCAAAAAAGCCACAGAGGAAGCTGCATTATAGATGAGCTACGTGTATCAGTTAATCTGCAGCTCAACGTCCTGGCTCGTTTATAAAATCAGCTCACACGTTCATCTGGAAATAGTTTTCAAGAAAATAAATTATAAATCATTAAAAAAAAACACCAAACATATAAACAGTCTGTTTTAGGACACTAAAGCAGGTCAATCTTTTAGTTTACAATCTTCTGATGACAGCTGGTTTTATTTCAGCAACTGCTTTGCTTTTATATATTTGAGATGACATAAAAGTTACATATTTTGAGTTGGTAGTGTGTCCCCAGGCTGATCTTCCCAGGTTTAGCTAAATGTTTACTCTGTGTAACAACAAATCTTTTTTTTTTCTTCTGGTTTATACTTTGTTCCGTGCAGACATGTTCATTTTGACGTGCGTTTTCTCTCTTCTTTCTTTGTTGTGTTTTCTCCTTCGCCCACACTAAGTGGCTAAAATCCAAGGTAAGTCTAGTTTGTCACATGACCCATTTTACTCCCATATATTAATACATCTATTCATGTCCCTTTCACATCAAATCCCTCGACCTGTGATGATTGTCATTTCTCGTGTTAACAGACATGTAGCCCCCTCCCTGTAGTGACTTGTCCATGTTTTAATTTCAGTGTCCTGTTGTCCAATACTCCCTAAATATTCTGTAGTGGAGGTAAAGTTTACAGGCTTCTCAGAAAACTCAAATCAATTTTCTTTTGTAAGTTTAAATTAATTTAATACACATTTGAGGGGATAAAAGTACTCTGCAAACACGCCGTTACTGAGATAAACACCGTCCTGGCTGGGATGATATACCCCTCAAATGAAGTCAGCTGAATGATGAAGAGTTGTCATCTGAGCAGCTTGTAACGTTTCATTTCAGTCACATAAATACTCCTCATCCACTGCGCCTGAAGGAATGTGTTTGTAAAATAAGCAACTGCTTTTTATTCCCCCTCCTTTCCAACCTCAGCAACATGGAAACAACCAGGCAGTCCGAGCAGGAACACTATCGAGGACCAATCCGCCAACACAGAAGCCTCCCAGCCCGCCGATGTCCGGGTGTGGCACGCTTGGGTAAGAGTCTCCATAAAGAAGGATCACTCCTTCCTGAGTAATCTAAAATTATTTAAAAATGTTACATTAGCATTTAGTTATAAGTCAGAAAGTTGCATTTTGATTGAAATTGCATGAAATTTTATTTGTCGTGCTTACTTTTTATTTTCCAATTTTCTGGCTGCTGCAGGCGCAACACGCCCTACAAGACCCTGGAACCGGTGAAGCCCCCCACAGTGCCCAACGACTACATGACCAGTCCCGCCCGACTGGGTGGCCAGCATGGCCAGCAGAACAGCCCGGGACGTACGGCGTCGCTCAACCAGAGGCAACGCACACACAGGTAAATTAAAAAAAGAGCAAAGTGGATGAAGACTCTTCACTTTGTGTTTAAACTACGACTGGACATCCAGTACAACCGAGACATGCAACAAAACAGAAAAATTATTTTTTGTTTAGCATTTTTTTATATTTTGTGTCCTTAAATTAACTTACAATGTGGTAACCACTCAACTACCACCAAAACTGGAAGCACTAAGTGACCAAAACAACTGAAAGACAGATTACTGTAGACTAAAGATTACAAACTGTTGAGCTCAGACTGAACTAAGGGATTTTGGGTACTACCTAAACTAAATAAAGACTCTTTAGAGTTGCCAGCTTGTTAAGTTGAAAACTTTGTATTTTTTCATTTTTTTGTTCTAAATAATAATATTGTCCTTGCTAGACCTGTCGCAACAAACAATAAATGAATTAATCGCCCGATAAATGAAAATTATCAAACTCATTTTCATTTATTGGCTTTATTGTTTCTTCGTGTCTCTTTCTTCTGAAAACGCTCCGGTGCTCTTCACTGAACCCTCCCTTTCTCTTTTTTAAAATGCATTTTAACTGCCAAAATCACATTTTTGGATCATTAAAAGCAGCTAAGCTGAGAATGTAAGCTATGAGCTAAGCTAACAGGCCAACCTCGGGGAAAAAAAACGTTGAAGCTCCAAAATTCACGATTGAAACCAGTGTCTTTGTGTAAAAAGTTTTTCTCTGCAAAAAGAAGCTGAGAACTTGTTGACTGGGTTTTTTTTTTGTGTGTGTGAAAAATGCTATGCTAAAGAGCTCAAACCACACAGAGCATCCGCCATTTTGAGAACCGAAGAGAGACAGCCCATGTTACGTCAAGGGGCCTCCCTCCCATTTTTCTTAAAGAGACACGCTGCTCACTCCCTCACTATACACCCTTCGTTTTAAACATTCTTATACTGCACGCAAAACAAATAACACACATTTAACACATTTCTTCTTAAATTTGACAATAATTACTAATTATTATTATTACTAATTACTATTTGTTGTCAAATTTCAAATATTATCGTTTATTGCAATAATTTCTGAGACAATTAATTGCCCTGCAAAATTTATCATGACGGGCCTAGTCCTTGCACATCTCATCTCTAGCTATCTTCTCACACCACACCTTCTTACTATACCTTTACTGCACCTCCCTTCGAACCTATATACATAACGTTCCCACCTAAGGCCCCTAGCCTTAAGTAAAAGGTTACACTCTGTTTTATGAACCTGAATAAGTTGGGGGAGTGGTGGCGCAGTTAGAGAAGATGGGCCTGCCTGTGATCGGAAAGTCACTGGTTTCACTTCCGGTACCATCAGCACCAAAATGTGGGTGAAAAACGTGAAACACCCACACCTGCCTCCACCCTCATTTGCCCCACTCTGGGCCCCTCAGAAAGCCCCTTAACCCCCACCATCACCATTTGTTCCCCCCCAAAAAACAGGTCTCTCTTGAAAATGAGTTCTCGTGACTCAATGAGACTACCTGTATAAATAAAGGGTAAACGGGGGGGGGGGGGGGGGGTGTACGCCCACCATGGGGTTGAGTTGGTGGTGTATTTTGATCTTGCAAGACGCTTACTGTGCCTGTTCTTCTGGACAGAATGAAAGGGTAGTTCAGCTCTTTTGAAACAAGGTTTATGAACAAGTTTTGAACAGTTATTGTCTTACTTGTTGTAGATATCTGTTTAAACAGCCTTATTTTGTCCAATAGTTTTAATCCAGACCCAATTTTGCTAATTTAAATTCATGCACAAAACATTTTAGAACCACAGTTCCTCCATTTTCCATGTAGGATATTATGAATTTTTTTTTTTTTTTTTTTTTTTTTTGTAAGAGCTGAATCAGAACTACACTTTAGAGCTGATGTTGTCAGAGTTTTCATAGTGAGTAAAAATCATCTCAGAAACTCTGCTTCCCTCTGCATTTGATGGTTTTAATCTGCATTTTATTCAGCAGCTCAGAACACTTTCACACCTCGTCCCTTTCCTCTGTTGCTCTAAATCCTGCATTTGTCTGATGAGGCTTGGAGGGGCTCTTGCCCCGACCAGAATCACTCTGATATTAATATCTGTGAAAGCTTCTGATATAAAGTGCTCTTTGGAGAAGGAAAAAAAAGTATTGTGAACACCCTTGAACACTACTTTCAGGGATTGGTCCACAAACATGTTGCAGCGGAAAACCAAAGGCACTTTTCTCAAATTAGAGTTATGAGCGACTGAAGTCGTCTCATTAGCTAAAAAGCCTGTTTTGCTGACTGTGATGCTAATAAATACTACAAATTTTAAAAATCTTTCCTCTTCATGTCCAACTTCTCTCTTGCTCTCCTAGCTTTACTAAATGCAAAACAAATGTGGAGAACTTTGCAGCACCACTGGAACCAAACTGGCCTAACGCTGCAGTGAGGTCCATTTTAAAAGCCCGATCCAGTCGAGCCTACCCCACTTCTGCTGTTATTGCTGTATTACTATTTGATTACGCTGGCATGACGTCAGCTGGGTTTATTCAGCTCATCAGTCTCTGCCAAACTCGGCTGAGGTTTGAATTCAATACAGGCTCCCTTTGTAGGTTATTATGTAATATAGGGAAGATTACATGGTCATCGACAAGCAGGTGTCATTATTATTAGAGTTGGTGCTCATCACAGCTGCAGGCAGGAGATTTAGGAGCAGATTTCTGCTTCAGCTATACTAAAATTGAACAAAATGATTTGATGATGTTTGGATGCATCCTGAAATAAAATGCCTCATTAAGCCTTCGGCTTCTTCAGCTATCCTCATCCTTCCTCGTGTGTTACTGTAACGTTCCTAAACTGTTTTATTATTCTCAAATAATAAACTATAAAGCACTCCCAATTATTATTTCAGTTCTTGTACAAATTATCCAGGACATTGTCTGCAGGCTTATGACATCTGCGGTGGTTCAGTTTAGGTCAGGGGTGTCCTAACATTTTCATAGATAGGCCAGAACTGTCCAGATGAAAGGACTCGCAGGCCAGAAAAGTCTGAATTTAAGGACTTTTTTTTTTTTAAGTGTGAATTTTTTTCTCCTCATTTTTAACCACTTCTTGCACTTTGAAAGTTCATTTTCATTAATTTTTCTGAGGCAAAAGAAACTCCACCCCCTTTAAAAATGGGGTGGAGCTTCAATCATCCATTTGGACTACGTCTGGCCCAAATGGGTCATCGAAGTTCTGAAAAATCGTCCAGCTGGCGGTCGCGAAAACGGAGTCATATTGAAGGGACACTGATAAAGTTGATCAACTTGTATGTCGACGATACCACTTTATATTCTTTTAAAAATGTTCAATTTCTATTGATTATTAATTCAACATAAATTATTTTCTTTGAAAACACTTGTTATATCGGTATTTAACAAAGTTTTATGAATTATTATCCAAAATTCTACTTTTTGTTAGGTCAGTGAAGGTTTGTTGTAGAATAAAGAGATTAATTATAGCTAAATATTTATACTGTTAGTTTCACACCTTTTGAGAAGATTATTTTTTATCTTTTTTGCTGTTAAACCTAAAAAATGCATTTAAAAAGCATAACTATTAAATTTAAAGAAGGTCTACATCTGCAAAAACATCTTAAGCCTTTGGGTCAAAATTATACCATTCTTTAATTATAGTCTAGGGCCACACAAAATCCCTCTAAGGGCCGCAAATAGCCCTCGGGCCACACTTTGGACGCCCCTGGTTTAGGTGGTCAGTGCGGCGGTTTTGTAATTCTGAGGTTGCAGGGTTGGAGCCCAGGTCGCCTCAGGAGGAGCGTCCGGCTTAACATTTGCCAAATCTTCACTCACTGTGGTGACCCTTGAAGAAGGGAGCAGCCGAAAGAGTGTTTTTTGTTAGGTTTTTTTTTTTTTGTCTGCAGGCTTCTACTAAAATAAAGTAGCTTTAATTCACTCACAAGGGCTGACACAAATACTGTTACACAATGAAATCCCATATTTTCTTTTTTTAAATGTGCTTCTGTTATACTTCTTAATAAATACTAGTCAGGTGTATTAGTATCAATAATTAGAAGTTTAAAGAACGTAATAATGTACTGCTTTAGTCTTTGTGTGTTTTTATATTCCAAGCTGTGGTGTTTTTATTGAACAAAAAGTGTTATTTTAATTTAGTTTTCACTTTATCACAGTGCTTCATAGTTATGTAAATAATTTTTTAATTGGTTTGTTTGCTTCATTTATTTATTTTATTTATTTTTAATTTATAAAAGTCACCATAGGAAGTATTACCAGATTTTCAATGTTTGTTTTTATTGTTAACATTTAAAATTGACAAATTTCAATTAGTTTAGTTCTTTTATTTGGATGATTAAAAACCTATTACAGATTAGAAAGATTAATTATAGAGAAGATATCGGAATACCTCCTGAGTGTCTATAATACATTTCATGGGGAGTAAATTCAAAATTATAAAACAGGTAAAAGTAACGTAAAACAGGTTGAGTTTGACTGAAAGTAGCAGCAGGAATACATTAAGTGCTTTATAAATAAAGTGATATGGTATAAAGGTGGTGAAATATTATTTTTGCTGCATTTTGAAATGTAGGAGCAGGAAAATGTAAACGAGTTGTGGAAAAGGTAATTGTGTTAAAGAAAAAAGGGATGGAGCTGGATATATCCAAAGCAAGTAGAAAGGCTGAAGTGTAGCGTTTACTTCAAAAGAGGGATGACCTGATATTGTTTGGCCTGTATCCCCTGCAGGCGCTCTGCTCTCGCTGCCATCGTCATCATCTTCAGAGGGGCAGTAACCCTGTTTGTGTCTGAAGAGCCTGAGGGCTCAGACAGGAGGGTGGGGAGGGGTTGATGAAAAGAGAAAGAGGGGGGTAAAGAGATTTGGGGCGAGTCAGTTTGGGTTCAGTGGCATGGAAAGTGTGGGGAGTCTGGGAAACGAACGAGGAATCTCTGTAGAGACGAAGAAGACGCGAGCAAAACGGGTCAGGGGAGGGTCCGTCAAAGTGCTGGGTTTGAAAGAGGCAGAGAGAGAGGGCAGAAATTAGGATCAAGTTCACTTTGAAAGAGATGGCAGCAGTAGGATTTAGTCGGCCAGACCCCTGATCTACAAGCCCTGAGGTCAAACGCAGGATGAAACGGAGCGACTGCATTGCTGACACAAATACTCCCCCCTCACATGTCTAATATTCTAATATCAAGTGCTCCAATAAACCCAGCACTGCACTCAAGTCTAACCTGACTCCTTAAACAAGAACAACTATTGGTAATTTGGCAGAATGCTCCAATTCATCACTTTTTTTTTCTTTTTTTTTTTTACATGGAAATGTAAAATGTATAAGTCTTGATGTCATTTCTTATTGTGACCCCTACCTCTTTAAGTGTCCTCTTAGCTCTTAATTTGAAATCACAAGAGTTACTGGTTTGAACATTTGAATTCACTAAACTGTGAGGTAGTTGTGACAATAAAGGTCACAACTCTGGTAGATTAAATTTCCTTCTGTTATTGTCCGGAGTGACTCACGTCTTGCTCAACAGGGTGTGTCGCACTGCAACGCGGTCTGAACAAGCCGCCTGAATCATTGTGTACAAAAACGCATGTAGCTTTAAGTATTACACACATGTTGAGTAATACTTTCAATTATATAGATAACTGGAAAGAAGTGGTGGTTTCAAAACTAGAACATAAGCTGAGATGTAGTGCCAATATTCACTGACCGAGTATTGATGGGTTGTTGTTGTTAATGAAGTTGTCTTTCCCCCCGTCCGTCAGTGGTAGCAGCGGGGGCAGCGGCAGCAGGGAGAACAGTGGCAGTGGAATTGGCATTCCCATCGCTGTGCCTACACCCTCCATCCCCAACTCTGGACCAGGTGAGCTTAATTAGCCTTTACTTTTTGACAGTTTTTAAGTGTTTAGAAAGCTTAACTCTGCAGTTTTTATTATTATTTGGGGGATTATGTCCAAGATGGGCATCAAATGAGGAGAATACATATTTTCTGTTTACACATTGTACAGAACCGTGTGAACCAGTGTGTACTTTGGTACATGGTGCAACTACGAATATGAAATTAAAAATAAAACATTTTTCAAACCATAATATGCATTTTTAAGCCAACTTGAGAAATTGCATTTCCTGTGAAACTGCAGTGTGAATGCTTATTTCAGAAGCACTTGCTGAATATCAGCTGAAATTAGCTAAAAAAAATGCTTGAATGTAGCTGAAATGGAAGAACAAGCTTAAATTAGCAGAAGAAAGCAGAAAGCACACATATTTGCTGAATTAGGTTTAAATAACAAGATGAACAAGATGGCCGCGCTCAGAGCAGTTGCAGCTTCACAGGCTCCCGGTACCATCCCAGTTTTTAGAAGTTTTGATATTGACTCTGTGCCTGACTCTGCGCGATTTATGCGTGTGAACTATAGCCGAACCGAACTGATGAGAATAGGAGCGGATTTGCCACGAAATATAGCAGAAATCAGCAACAAACTCAAAGCTACGCTCGGCAGAATGCAGATCTTAAAGTCATCTACCTGGAAGCTGCAGCAGAGGCGTTCCAGCGGGCAGAAGAGGAAGCGCTGCTCCCGGCTTAAGAGGAGAGGATGCCGGGCGGGGGTTATGGTGAGGCTACGAGCTAACGCTAAAGCCGGTAAACTCCCCATGCCGTCTCTCTTTCTGTCGAATGTCCGCTCGTTGGACAACAAGGTGGATTTACTTCGTCTGAGAGCGGGCGCCTCAGAAGAGATGAAGAAGTGTGCGGTGCTTTGCCTCACGGAAACGTGGATTACAAGTGAAACGCCGGACTCAGTCTTCCAGCTGGATGACAGACTTTTATTTCGAGCGGACCGCTGCAGCGAGCTAACGGGGAAATCACGGGGGGGCGGAGTGTGCATTTACGTGAGTAAGAGTTGGTCCACGAACTGTACTGTTGTAAATAGCTCATGCTCGAAGGCTTTGGAGCAAATAACAGTGAAATGTCGGCCACATTATCTACCCCGCGAGTTCACAGTGACTTTTATCACAGTTGTTTACATTCCTCCGGACGCTAATGCTAATGAATCACTACAGGAGCTTCATGATATCATCAGCTCGCTGCAGAACAAACACCCCGAGGCTCTTTACGTGGTAGCTGGAGACTTTAACCACGTGAATCTAAAGGACTGTCTCCCAAGCTTTTATCAGCATGTGACGATTCCGACACGTGGAGACCGCACGCTGGACCGTGTTTACACGAACGTAAAAGATGCATACAAAGCCGAACCCCGCCCCCACCTAGGACTGTCAGACCACATCTCAATCTTCCTGGCTCCTGCTTACATGCCCCCGCTGAGACGCTCCAGACCGGTTCAAAAGAAAGTTAAATGTTGGATCCAGGACAGTGGCCCCATACTGAGAGATTGTTTTGACCGAACAGACTGGCAGGTTTTCAGAGAAGCTGCTGAAAATGGAGGTTCGCTTGATCTTGACCAATACACATCCTCAGTACTGGGTTACATTAGTACATGTACTGACACAGTCTCCACTATCAGAAATGTTAAAAGCTACCCAAACAGAAAACCTTGGCTGAATGCAGAGGTGCGTACCCTGCTGGAAGCCAGGAACACTGCCTTCAGGTCTGGAAACTCAGAGGAGCTGAGTAGGACAAGAAAAGAGCTGGTTGCTGGTATTAAGAGGGCCAAGGCCGCATATGCAAAGAGGATCGAGGGTCAATTCATCTCACAAGACCCTCGGAGCATGTGGAGGGGCATTAAGTGCATAACAGATTATAAAGGAAGGAGTGAACAATGTCCCAAAGACCCATCTCTGCCTGATGCCCTCAACAAGTTCTATGCACGCTTTGAAGACCCGAACAGACCACCCAGCACCAGACTCACCTCACCACCGGATGAAGAGCATCTCAGCGTGACCTCAGCAGAAGTAAGGAGTACCTTCAGGAGGATTAATCCGCACAAAGCAACTGGCCCAGACAACATCCCCGGAAAAGTGTTGAAGGAATGTGCTGATCAGCTCTGTGAGGTGCTGGCAGACATCTTTAACACCTCACTTACCCTGGAGACAGTTCCCACCTGCCTGAAGACTGCCACCATCATCCCAGTCCCAAAAAGCTCTACAGTGACTGGTCTGAATGACTATCGGCCAGTGGCCCTCACCCCGATAGTCGCTAAATGCTTCGAAAAACTGGTCATGACTCACATCAAAACAACCATCAACATCAACGAGGACCCTCATCAGTACGCATACCGTGAGAACCGATCAACAGAGGATGCAATCTCCTCTGTGGTCCACACTGCACTCAACCACCTGGAGCAGAAAAACTCTTACGTCCGTATGCTCTTTATGGACTTCACATCCGCCTTCAACACCATGATCCCCCAAACCCTGATGGACAAACTATCCACACTAGGACTAAGCCCCTCCATCTGCAACTGGGTACTAGACTTTTTAACAAACAGACCACAGTTAGTGAGGATCCACAACCTCTCCTCCTCCACCATAACCCTCAGCACTGGCTCTCCTCAGGGATGTGTGTTGAGCCCCCTCCTGTTTACTCTGCTCACATATGATTGTGCAGCTACCCATCCAGGCTGTCACATTGTAAAGTTTGCAGATGATACAGCGGTGGTGGGATGCATCACAAACAATGATGAGTCCAGCTACAGGCAGGAGGTGGAACACCTGGAGAGCTGGTGCAGAGAGAATAACCTTCACATCAATGTGAAGAAGACAAAGGAGATGATTGTGGACTTCAGAAGGAACAAAAACACCTACACCCCCCTGAACATAAGAGGATCTGCGGTGGAAGTGGTCTCCAGCTACAAGTACTTGGGTGTACACATGAATGACAACCTCAGCTGGAGCAACAACACCACCAGCCTGATCAAGAAAGCTCATCAGAGACTCTACTTCCTCAGACGGCTGAGGCGAGCTGGTCTGGGAAGCTCAGTCCTCACCTCCTTCTACAGGTGTGCAGTGGAGAGCATCCTGTGCTCCAGCATCAATGTGTGGCATGGAGGCTGCACAGCTGCAGAAAGAAAAGCTTTGCAGAGAGTGGTGAAGGCTGCACAGAAATCTGTTGGAATCAGTCTCCCCACCATCACAGACATCTACACCTCCAGATGCAGGAAGAGGGCCACCTGCATCATGAAGGACCCCACCCACCCAGCACACACACTTTTTGCCCCACTCCCCTCAGGAAGGAGGTTAAGGAGCATTAAGTGTAGAACCACTAGACTGAGGAACAGCTTCTACCCTGAGGCTGTTAGACTCATGAATCTCTAACTAGAATAATCACTGTGAAAAACCATATCATGTTGCTGCTGATCTGTTTCATGTTGCTGCTGATCTGTTTCAATGTTGATGTGTTCATGCGTGCACATCTGCTCACAGACTCATGTTCATGTTTGTGCTGATGTTCAATGTTTTATGTTATGAGTGCTTAGTGTATATTTAGTTGATGTTTTTCTTAGTTCATATCTTAGATGTTATTACTGTTTTTCTTATACATTTTATTGTTGGATGTAACTGGGACCCTGTGTACATAATTTCGCTCCACCACATGTACCACATGAGGTGCGAATGACAATAAAGAAACTCTGACTCTGACTCTGACTCTGAAATAAGCAGATATCGGCACAATAGTTGGGAAAATAGCTATTAAAAAAAGCTGAAAATAGCAAAAACTAGTAAAAAAGTCAGAAAGAAGCTTAAACTACCAGAAGGAAGCGAAAAAATCTGAAATGAGCTAGAAAAATGTGAAATTAGCTGAAAAGGCTAAAACTAGCATAAAAGCAGCTAAAATAGTAGTTGAAATGGCAGAAAAGTTTAAACTAGCAGGAAAAAAAGCTGAAAGGAGCTGAAATTAGCATAAAGAAGTTAATTTGGCTGAAAGCAAAAGAAAGTAGTAGAAAAAGTAAAAGAAAATGTGAATTTATCTGAAAACAGCTGAAATTTGCTAAAAAAAAAACCGAAAAACGTAAAAGCTAGCTGAAAAGTTAAAACAAGCTTAAATTAGCCTAAGAAAGCAGAAAGAAAAGTGTGTCCAATTAGGCTTAAAGAAGCAGAAATTAGCCCAAAAAGTGGAAATTATCTGACAAAAAGCTGAAATAAGCAAAAGCTAAAAAGAAGCTAAAACAGCAAAAGAAGCTTAAATTACCAGTAGGAAGTAGATACAGCACATTTTTGTTGAATTAGGCTGAAAGAAGTTTAAATGAGTGGCAAAAATGTAGAATTAGCTGAAAAAACTAAAATTAGCAAACAGCTAAATAGTAGCTGAAATAGAAAAGCTGAAACTTGCTGAAATAAGCTGAAAGGAGTATAAGAAACTGAAATGAGCAGAAACGAGTTAAAATAAGCACAAAAATGTTGTAGTTAGAAAGAATCTAAAAGGAGCACAAACGGCTGGAAAAACAGCTGAAATTAGCTAAAAGTATCTGAAAAAAATGTTTAAATTTGCACAAGGAAGCTGAAAGAAGCTGAAGCAGAACAAAATGTGAAAGCAGCAGTAAAAAGCTGTAAACAGATCTATTTGAAGGATGTAAGATGAGCTCAGTTGATTTTCTATGTGGAAAACAATGGCAGAAAAGGATAAATATTTCAAAAAAGCTAAATCCGCACAAATACCCAAAGTCATAGCAGGATTGTCCTGAAAGAGCTAAACGTTTTGATTTCAAGATTTGTTGAAATAGCTTGAAAACTGCAGGACGAGAATTGCACTGACAAAACGTATAGAAGAAAAATGGATCACAGTGGCTTCATAAACGTTCACACAGTAAAGGCATTACTTCAGGTGTAAATAAAAGATGTTTGCTGACAGTAGTGCACTACAGAAAGCCAATGTTTACCAGGCAGGGATTATCAAGGCTCTTTGTGTGATTCTCTATTCAACTGTGTAAATAGGCCAAGCTGTGTGAGGCCTCCTGCTGTACATTCAACCAGTAAAGCTTGTATACCACCCAGGACAAGCTGCACACACAGCTGCATTACACCACGACGTCCTTACTCTTTTGGTTTACTTCAGCTTAGACAGAAGTGGTTTTCAAAGTCTGCGGCTGTTTGACTTCAGTACCAGGATCAAGTTAAGCAGCAAATGGCTGTCTGCTCTCGCAGCAAGCAGGTTGCCATGGAAACGCATCGCAGAAATACGCTTGGCTTTGAAAAAGTCAAAGCGCTCCTCCGGGCGCTGAGGGCTTCTTACGTAATGGAGCAGAGATGTTGCAGACTCTTTTCCTGCTTCAATTAACCCCCAGTACTTGTTTCAGTCCCGCCCATGTTCGCTCCTCCTCCCCCACCACCTCCTCCTCCAATGCCTCCACCTGCTACTCCTATGGCCGGGCCGCCGCCCCCAGCACCCCCACCTCCACCCATAGGTGAGACTCATCAACTCCAGGGTTTGTCTCCTTGCTGGTGGTGGATCACTCACTTGCTCGTGGAAGAGATTTCTGAATAAGGGTGTCTGTCTAACCACACTGCAAGCAAAAAGGAGTTGAATATTTATTTAACCCCCTCCCAAAAAACCTGACACCAGCAGTAGAAGCACTACTTTTTGACACATCTATTTCTGACATTCTGTAAATTAATAAGAATATTGAGGAAGGGAAGAGAGGTTAAACATTAATTTACTGCAGACAAACATCTGGACCAAGACATACTTGGTTCCTTTTATTTATTCATTTTTAGTTGCTTGCAGTGTGAAAGCTGTTGGGACAATCATGAAATGGTTTGCCTTTTGTGCCTTTGTTTTAAACCTTGTTTGTGGTGATGGTGGTTTTTATTTCTCTCAGCTGTTTTCTCCTTTATTATAAAGAAGTTTCATGTCACAAAAAGGTTTGTAAGCTCAATCGTCCAGGTGAATAAATACGAAAAGGTTACAATAGTCCCTCGTTTATCGCAGGTGGTTAAGTTCCGAAACACCCCCAACAGTTCAGTCAACAAATAAATTTAAATCAACTAAACTAAAGCAAAAGTTCATTAATCAAGATAACTTGACAATGTTAATGCCTTTTTACTCACCAGCTCTGCAGAAAACACAGCAGCTCAGTTCTGGTTCGTCTTAGTTCTGGTTTGGCAGACCTACCCACCCATGGTCCAGTTCTGATTCGGTTCTGGTCCAGTTCTGATTGGCTCTCTGCATCCACTGAGCGCTAAAGTCACTATGAATACTGTAAGGACCGAACTTTTTCCGATCGAATCAAAACTTTCCAGTGAAGCAGCTTTGCCTTCTGGGTAATGTAGTCCTTTAGATGGCGATGCAGTGTAGGCTCATTGAGAGAAAACTACAAAATGACGGTGCATATAGTTCAAGGTTCTTTATTGTTATTCACATCACGTGGCACATGAGGTGGAATGAAATTGTGTACTCAAGGTCCTAGTTACACCCAAAAATAGCAAAAATATAAAGTATAAATAAAAGAAACCGTATACAAAGATCTAAGATATATGCTAAACATTAATAATGTAAAACAATACAGTATATTAAACAACAGCCTGAACATTTATTTGTTTTTTGTCGTGTATAATCTTGCAGTACTGTACTTTGAAAAACCGCAACAGAGAGAGTCTGCAAAAGTCAAACCACGCTGAAGCGAGGGACTACTCTAAATCCTGTCAACTGGACAAGTTTCATTTTGGGACAAATGTTTTGTCTTTCTCTGAAACACTTCATCAGTCTGAGGCTTAGCAACCCAGATCTCTTATAAATAGTCATCATTGATGTGTTTCAAGCCAACCTGCTGTTAAATTCACAGAAAATGGCTTTAGCACATGCAAAAAGGGACCATCTGTCCAAAACAATCAATCATCATGCACAACAATGAAATGTTTTAGGCCAGATGGACAACTTGCTACTCACAGAAACAGCCTGAGGAGCACCAAGGCCAACATGGTTCAGATCTGGGTTGGCACTCAGACTGATGAAGTCTTTTGGATGAAAGACAAAACATTTCTTCCACGAAGAAACTGTCCAGACATGACTTAATTTTATTTTATTTTTTTAAGTTTCATGTCGCCAATGAGGGGAGAAATCCAAACTGAATGATTTTCATTCTTATCAGCTAAAGGACGGTAATTACTGACAGTAATTGTGAACAGAAACGTGATTTTGAGACTTCTCTTGTTCAGCTACAGTATATTTATGTTTCATTTAATTTGCTTTGTGAGGGGATTCTGGTTAAAGCTGCAACAAACATTTACTTTCACTCAAAATGCTGGTGTGGTATCAGTTATTCAGGATATGATAAATGAATAAAACAAAACAACTGGACTTCTTTTCTGTCATTTAAGGAGTTTTGCTTCCCATCTTTCAGAGATTAGCTAAATTTTAGTTCAACTCTTCACTAATTTGAAATTTGAGTCCTCACTCTAATTCTATGGGGGGGTTAAAGGTGCTGTAGTCATCCTGCGTTGTCTGATGCAGCTTTATTCATTATTGGTTATTTGTAATTACTGTTTGATCAGTTTGTGTTTGATCCTTGAATCCTTGAGGGAAACGATCACTTCGAACACAAATCACGACCTCTGAATCTCTGAACGCTCTCGGCTATAATCACCTCTGCTGCCGACGGTACGGCGAGGTTTGTTTGCGTTCCTTCAAAGTTGAACTTCCTCTGGTTCCACCCTTTTCCAATTTGAGAGTCTGTTCATCCGAGAGATTATTTCTTATCTAGAGAAGGGAGGAGGAAATGCTCGGCAGGACAAAAAAGGAAACTAGATGCTTAACGTCTTCTAAAAAAATAAATAAATAAAACAACTATACACTCACATTCAATCAATTCTCAAAGTGATGATGCATAAACAAACTATTTGAAGACACAAGTTGAAGTTATTTATTTGTTTTCCCTAAACATCTGGTGGCTCAGTTTGTTGTGTTGCTACTCCATCCATCTTTTTTCTCTTCTGATCAATATTTAACCAGACTGCTTCTTGGGACTTTTTATAAAATTTAAACCTGTAACAGTATTATCATTTAACACTTAACCTCCCCTAATTTCCTTTCATCTGATTTGTCTTTACAAGGTTTGGGGCTCCGATCAGTATTTAAAACAATAAATAAATACAGTGTTTTTTTATGGTGTTGATGACTGGTATTTTTTTCTTTCCTTCTCCTCTGGCAAACCTCCTTCTCCCTTGGACTCTGCCTGTCTGTCTGTGGGTGATTCTAGTGGTGGCCGCTGGGCCTGGACTGGGCCCCGCTCCAGTGTCCCAGTTTGGGACCATGTCGCGGCAGATTTCACGACACAACCCCTCCAACTCCTCTGTCTCTATGGTTTCGGCCACGGGCACCTACCGCCGGGCGCCATCGGTCACTTCGCAGTTCTCCTTACAGCAACAACAGCAGCAGCAGCAGCAGCAGCCTCACATTAACGGAGGCACTCCTGGTTATGGCCAAAATTCAAGTAAGGCCCTTCTGTTTCCTTCCACACCCTGCTTTAAAGCTCCTGAACTGACAACTAAAGCACAAAAACTCACGTTCTTTGCACCAACACAGCCACAAACTAAAGGAAAATAACTTCTGTAGCCACAAATGATGCTACGTTTGCAATGCCACTGCTTTCTTAAAGCTTAGTTTGCTTTGTTGCCACAATTGTTGACTTTCTCTTAAGTGCAGATTAATCTTTATTTTTTTTTTTTTAATCTGTGTGCCGCCTTTAGTTTTGATGCATAGTTTATGTTTTAGTTCTGTAACAGGTTTTGTTCAAGCAGCTGTCATTGGCAATATTTACGGTCAGGTCTGTCTTGTCAGATGAACCACTTGGGTTTCGATTGCATTTTTATTTGGCTTCAACCCCAAAATGTGTCATGATCGTGATCTCCATATGCAAATTACAGGGCAATACATTTTTAAGTCTTCTTGACAACATTTGACCTTTTGAACAGACACTTGCAGCTTCAAGGAATGTTTCTATTTTCAAAGCGTTAATACCAGGGCTTAATTTGAGCCAGATCCTGCTGGAATAGGATCCGGGAACGCTCGTATTTTGACAGGGTGTGTTCCGGTAACCGTTTGCTTGGATCCAGTAACTCAGGCTTACAAATAATAAAGTTTGCCTGCCTTGAACAAATAAAACCTATATGTATATGTACTCTGAAAATAATTGCATAAACACTAATTTTAAACATAACCACCACTTACGAGCTTCTTAATAAGTAAGCATTTCCGCTTCTACCCTTAAAAATTATCTCTGCCCCCTAAAAGTACAGTCATGGGCAATTTAATTAAAAACAAAAAAAAAATACAATTAAACAGCACAACTAAACTGTAAAGCAGTTTTACAGTTTAAGTGGGTCATTAATAAACTTGATTATTTATTAAAAATACGTGCAAAATTTTTGATGCATAATCACGTTGTTGCGTATATCACGTATCAAAACAGCGGTGCCAATTTGTCAAAATAAGCCATAAAAATGTCAGAAAGTCCAATTTACTTTCATTAAAATAAAAAAGTCTTCTCATTGTACAACTAAAGAATTAAGGATTGAAGCACACTGAAGGCAGTGCCAATGGAGATAGTACTGGAGCAAATGTGAGGATGCTTGAGAGAAGCAGAGCTATTCACACAAGGAGAGCTGTTGGTCAGGCTACTTATTGTTGCTCTCTATAATAGTTATTGAATCAGTTGTTTACAAATGTCTGTACATGTAGGTGTTTAACAATCCATTAAAATGCACCAGGAAATGGCATCTACTTTATTAAAAAATTTCTGGCGGAGGACCCCCCCACCCCTCCTTTTACATTCTGGCATTGTTTGGTTAACAGATTAAGCACTGGTTAATACTCTAGAGTTATCAGTAAATAAACACTACGATATTTTAAAAATCCAAACCGTCCCTTCACAGATGTTTGAAAGAAGGAGTGTAAGGAAAACTTTTTCAGTTGATGGCTGCATTTCAGATTACACTGTCATCATCCAGATGTTTAGGATTCCAGCCCAGTCTAAATAAACTCCACGACACCTACAGCCTGTATGTGTTTTCCTGTAGAGTGCCCCCTTGTGGCAATACTCTCTACTTTTAAGCATCTGGAGTCAGATAGAAAATAATGATAATCCACGGTTCATCTGCTGACCCCAGTGATCGTCAGATCAAATCTCATCACAGCTGCAGACTTCGCTGAACTTTTCAACTAAAGCTTATGTGAGCGGGGGGATGGGTGGGTGGGGGGGGTGCAGTGTTTCAACTTTAGTGTTGCTTTTTGTCTTTTTTCTGATCACTCCTAAAGATTGATGGGCTCTGTCTATTTTTTTCTTCTTCTTGTGTTCCTCCCATTTGCTTTCCCCCGCCTTGCGCCTCCTTCCTGGCTTTAAGTGTCTGCCGCTCCTCCTCCTCCCCCCATGCCCCAGCTGACTCCACAGATACCTCTGACTGGCTTTGTGGCCAGGATGCAGGAGAGCAGTAAGTGACGAGGCCACACACACACACACTGTAACTTCCTCCTTATCTGTGCCAAGAACATCCATCATGCATTGTGCTTTGCATCTTTTTGGAGCTCGCCCTAAATCATCAATTTCATAATTTAAATAGCTTTCAAACACATTTGCCTCCTTTTTATTTATTTATTTATTTATTTTTTATCTACACCTGTAGTTCCTGGTTTAATGTCAAATTAGTACTTTATTGGAGGTTTTCTAAAGATGAGACTCTCTGCTGTCCTCTGCTGGTGCAAATCCTGAAATGTTTGCAGTTTTTCTTTTGAAGCTGCAAGATCTTTACAATGTGGCTGTAAATATCAACAGTCGACTAACGGCAAGATGTCAATCCTAGTTTCTCTCATACAATATTTGAAGGATGAGATCAGGAGCTATTCAGACTGTCTGATCCTAACCTGCAGCTTCTGTCAGTCAACAAGAAAAGCTGGTTCTGCTGGCTGGAATTTGTAGACTGTATGAGAGTATGATGTTTAGTCCTGTTATTCCTTCAGTATTTATTTTGGAAGAAAAAAAATTGGACTTTATTTGTTTTCTTTGAGTTTTCAAAGCCTTTTATTTGAATCAAAGCAGCTGGGGTTTTGGACCACTCTTCTCATAGTTTTGGATGTTGAAGGATTTTGTTGTCCTCTCTTTTTGGCTGGATCAACCAAAACTGTCAGTGGGGTGTTCTTTTCTCTTCTTCCTGGATCAGTTTGACTCGTTTTTCCACATTGTCTTATTGGAAGGTCAAGATGTAGCAAACAGGTTTCCTCATGTATTTAAATGTAGCTGTTTGGATGTTCATCCTTGAACCTTGAGCCAGTCCTTGAGAAAGTATTATACCATGGATTAAAACGCCCAGAAGTTTCTGGAAAGACCTTTTTTGAAAACTCAAAAGTTCAATAATGAAACGGCTGCCACTGCATTGAATTTTTAGCACTGCACAATATATTGAAACATTTATTTTTATCGCAGTATCAATAGGTGCAATATCAATACTGCAAAAGATTGCAGTAAACTGCAGACACAAACTGCATGCCAGTAACGGTCCGATTGACCCCCACTGCTGTTTCAGATCATGGTAACCGACATGTTCCAAGAGTTATGACAGAAAAAAATGTGAATTTATTGCAGCTGATGCAATTCTCAATAATGTCTCAGTTGCTCATATTCCTTATATTGTACAGCCTGAAACAACTCTGAAGGAAAATGGTTAGTCGGGTAAAACTTTTTTTTTTTTTTTTTTTTTTTTACGATTTAAGCCATTTTTGACCTTCTATAAATAAAATGCTGTTACACTTACGAGACAAAGTGAACAAAATTTAGCTAATGAGAATATTTTCTATCAAGAAAACATTAGTTCTAATGAGTCTGTGGAGAAACGAAGGCCTTGTGCACTCCAGATATTTATTTTTAACTGAACAATTTTTACTGCATTTGTGCTTATTTACATGCAAATGTCTTAAGTGAGGAATACAGACTTTTAAAAATGCTTTTCAATATATGAAGTATTTTTTCAAGAACATTCATAATCTTTTTTGAGCATGCCTGCTATTACTTATTGATCCAGAAAGCAAAGCAGCACTGATGCTATTTTATTATGTAAATTATTTTCAATTGTATCTTTTTCCCATTGTACTTTAAGTGCTTAAAAACATAATAATTGAGAGAAACATGTATAGTATCACAAATTAAGCTACAGTTGTTTTAAGAAAATCTTTAACCAAACTGGAAATGTTCTTTTTCTGTATTTTAATATGATGTTAATGTGAACGTTCTCGCCACCTAGTGGCACAGCATGAGTATGACAGCATGTTTATTTAACAAGTAGACAAATATTTAAGAGAAATAAATATCTGGAGTAGTGTTGATGGGCCTAAATACTACAGTAAAGAGGGATTAAAGTCCCTAAACACACGTGAGTGGAGTGGTCTATAAATCTCTGATAGATATGATGATAAACTAAAACTTTGGCATTGAATAAAGAGAAATTATAGAAAATATTTTAACTAGATTATCACTGGGTCACCTAGAACTGTTTTTATTTCTTAGTTCTAATGATGGCAAACGTATATATTTTTTAAATATCATTGTTTAAGAGGCACAAGTTAATTTTTGTTTTGTATGTGCATGTTAAAACACTTGAAAGTCACAGCAGAATGGGCTCAAACATGAAAAATCATTTTTGAGACTTTCGTGTCTTGCAGCCTGCTCACCACATTCCTCTGCATGTTTGTGTTGTTGGTACTCCTGCATGATCCTGCCGTCGTCCTCCTCATCGCAAAATTCATCCAAACTGAGCAAGAATTTGTTCTCTTCACATTTCTGATTAAATAGTTGCAGACACTCCAACTCCACCTCCTCCTCCACCTCCAGACGACTTGCCCATGTTTGACGAGTCTCCTCCACCGCCGCCTCCTCCCGTGGACTACGAAGAGGAGGACGCCGCAGTCGTGCAGTACAACGACCCTTACGCTGACGGGGACCCGCAGTGGGCCCCCAAGATCTACACGGAGAAAGGTTGGCCTCAAAACTAGAGCACAAAGTCGTTGAGCTAAAGTCCTCCGCCTGGTTTCTGACCGAACGTCTTCTGTGTTCTCACAGTGGTGGCCATCTACGACTACACCAAGGACAAAGAAGACGAGCTGACGTTCATGGAGGGCGCCATCATTTACGTCATCAAGAAGAACGACGACGGCTGGTTCGAAGGCGTGTGCAACGGCGTCACAGGCCTGTTTCCTGGCAACTACGTGGAGAGCATCATGCACTACGCGGAGTGAAGCCACCTCACCGTGAAAGTACTATTTATTCAGTCTCATCTGGTGAAATACTGACGGCAGCAACGCAACTCCGGAGATGCATAGATCCCTTTTTTTTTTAAATACAGAATGTTTTCCTCCTTACTGATTGCAAATAAAATGACAATGACATCAGTTTAGTTTTTGTTTTGTGTGATTAGGGATGTGTGGGTGATGTATAGAGAATAATCTGCCTGTGTTCACTCGGGCTGAAAACAGCTGACGGATGTGTGGTGACATCCAGCCTGAACAAAGATTTTTTTTTTGATTGAGAAATTAGAACGAACATCTTTAGCTTCGATGGAACAAATAAAATGCCACAAAAAGCACCTTCGGTGGAAGTACTTGTATATAGAATGTGAGCTACAGCCTCTTGGAGTCCTGTAATGTAAAATCAATGAATGTTGATGACGGCTCCGCAGATTCATACAGGAAAATAAACACTTGTTTTTAAATACTGTAAACAAATCCTTCTCAAATATGGTTTTGGCATAAAAGCATGCAAATATATTGTAATCTTAAAAGTATTTTTTTTCAATATGCTTCCATTATGTTGTAAATGTATACACATTTTTTTTTTAATCTGTCGAAATCACTGAACTCTTTACTTTTAAGTCAAACAAGCTTTGTCGTGCTATCACTTTTAAATTGGAATGTAAAAATTTAAAACCAAATTTGAGCTTTTTTTTCTTCTGTGATTGTAAGTTTTGAACCAAGAAAAATAGTTCCTCTTATTATTATTTTTTAAATGCAGCAGTTAGGGGCAAAGCTGTAGGAATGTGTTTTTACATTTGGGGTGCTTTTGAGGAAAAGCTGTTTTTGACGTTATGTCTTATCATGCACCACGTCCTGCTGTAGCACCCTCAGCACCCCTGGTTCCCAAATCGATTTGGCTCTTTTGAGGTGACGCTAACCTGCTCAGGATCGCTGTTCAGTTTGTCCAACTTGACTCTGAATGTCTCCAACGTCATGGTTGATCCAAATGGGATGAAACTGAAATACAGGTTTTGGAAGCCTCACCCCCTAAAAAAGCAGAACATTTCCAGGGAATGATGGGAAATGTCTTCTCTCCTGGTCTAACAGCTGATTGGTTTAGATGTTGGCTCAGCAGTTTGACCTTCCATAGAATGAACTCTTGTTGCATTTAAACAGTTTCACAATGTTTATTCTACCACCGTCACTTAGCCAGAGGCTGAATCCCCTTAGATTAAATCACAAACTAATGCGCCCACTTTTATTATTGTAGAAATTTACAGTACTGTGCAAAAATCTTGAGTAATCTTTCTTTAAATGTTTTAAAGTGGTCTGGATCAATCTTTTTCTAGAATTTGCTGTTATGAATTTATTCTTCTACCCATTTTCAGGCCGTTTGTGAAGAATTGTATTTACAGTTTTCTGTTAAACCATCAGTCACTGACACAAAAAGTCTCAACTCAAAAAAGGTGGTTCAGTGTTTGTTGACACAGAACTTTTTTAAATTGGATTCTTTGTTACCATTTCACCAGAAAAATGCAATTTTGTCCAAATATTAGCTGTACATTTGAAAAACACCAAACGTAACTGTTAGAGACAAAGTAGTATTTTAGCACCAAAAACATTTAGCTGGGAACGGCCTACAGCAGCAGATCAACAGGGTGATGCAGCTCTCAGATCTTTGCTGAACGGAATTAATTAAGCAGCAAAAGTTTATTTAAAAACTTTGAAAGCTCTTCAGTAAGCCTGAAGGATTGCTCAGGACCACCTTAAAAGACAACAGTTTGTTTGAAGAAATAATAAAGATGGATTAAAACTTGTCCACAGTTCTGTACAGGTGGATTTAAAACCCTAGTTTAACCATTTCAAGTTGCTTTGCCTTTCCTTTTGTTTTTTTGCTTATGCAGTCTGAGAAGTCTGCAGTTGCAAACAGATGATACCAATTCATTTAAAAGAGGCTGAACATTAAGACAATATTTCAACTGAGCTCACAGGAGCTGTTTGTAGCTGTAGCTCTGAGTGGACTCATCCTTCCAAGAGACAATTCAGATGCAAGACCGTAGACCAACAATGACCTCCTCAGTCTTCTCAAAGCAACAAGAACTGTGCTGTGTTCAAGTCCACAGGGACGGAGTCAAGTGCAGCCAGTTAATATTTGGTGTTCCTCAGGAATTGCCTTCAGAGGTATTTTATTCTTGCGTAGGCAACGTTTGGATTTCCTGCTGTGGACATGTTTCAGATATTTCAGCCGATGCCTTGTTTTTGTTCCCACTTTGTTTTTTTTACAATCTGCTCAATCTCATGAGTTCAACAGAAAGGCACCTCTCTCTGCTCATCATTTGTATATACTACGTGCCGATTAGAGTTAATGTACAGTCTTTTTTAATAAACAAATCTACGTCCAACGTGTGTGTCATCATTTAGGAAATAATCAAGCAAAGCAGTCCTTTAAATAAAAAAGTTCAACAGACTTTTATTGAGCATGGAGTCGTTGAAGATGTTAAGGCCTTGGTTGTTTGACGTTGCCTTTTAAAATAGAAAAAAAAATATCAAATAGACTGTTTGGCTTTTGACAGGTGGACGGATCTCATCCCAAGTTTGCACCTCGTCTCACTTGGAATTAGACTTCACAACAGCTCAACGCAGAGCTAGCGTGTAACGCACATCTGAGAAATGGGAGGTCGCCATGGTTACAGTACTGCATGATGTAAAGGTGACGTCTTCAGTACCATTTCTCCTAAGATGTTAATTTACATCAAACCCTGACTTTGATTAAAATTTAAATAAAAACTAACTTGCATGACAAAACCAAGTGTATTTATGCATCATGATAAAAGTTCTGAAAGATCCAATAAATCAACGCGGTGGCACGAAAACCAGCACCAAGGATCCTTGCAAATCCAACCCTCAACACTTCTGTTGGTATTTCTGTCCCACCCTGGTCTGGTTGTGTTGCAGGGCGAGTTGCCTTTCCAGGAGTAGCTGCCTGAAGAGAAGGCGGGCGGTGGAGGCTTATTTGTTTCTGTTGAGCACGATCTGTGTGAGCCGGATGAGGGCGTCCCTCTCAGGAGACGGCCGCAGGAAGCTGATCTGTCTTATGGCTTCATCGCAGTACCGCTGGGCCAAGAAGGTGGTCTGCTGCACACCGTCACTCTGAAACGACAAGAGCTGGTCAGGAACGTTGATGGCCTTTATTTTCTGACCTGAAAAAAGTGAAACCCATAGGCCTTCGTTTGCATGTTCACACCAGTTAAATTTATTTATATAGCGCCAAGTCGCAACAGACGTCGTCTCGGCACTGAACAGAAACATTCATATTTAAAAATAATAATTTAACATTTATCTGAGGAGACTGCTTTCAATTTAACTTCATCGCAGAATCATCTTGAGCAAGCAAGAAGGCGACAGTGGAAAGGAAAAACTCCCTCATGAGAAAGAAACCTTTAGCAGAACCAGGCTCAGGACAAGCGGCCATCTGCTTCGACCGGCTGGGTTTGAGAGGAACAGATACACAATGGCAGGTCAAGAATCACATGCTAAGATAAAAATAATATCAAATGAAAATATTCAATTTTAACAATTCATTTATGGAAATGAGGTCAATTTGTCCTCTAGTCGTCTAAGCCTATGGCAGCATGACAAGCCAACTCGAACTATAGGATTTATCAAAAAGGAAATCTTAAAACTGGACAATGTGTCAGCCTCACAGACGGAAACTGGAAGTTGGTTCCACAAGAGAGGAGCCTGATAACTGAAAGAGCTTCCTCCCATTCTTCTTTTGGAAACTCTAGGAACTGCAAGTAAAACTGCAGTCTGAGAGCGAAGTGCTCTGTTAGAAAAATATGGAACAATAAGATCTGTAATATAAGATGGAGCTAGGTTGTTGAGGGCTTTGTAGGCTAGAAGTAAGATTTTGAATTAAACAACAGACCCGACTGATGACGGGTGAATCAAAACTCCCTGAATTACATTTGGGATTTGGTGCTTGTGTATTATTTTTGTATCAGTTTAATAGCACAACAGAATATTATCAGCCGCAGAGACCCACAACCTAATAAAGTTGTTTTGTCTTCGTTGTGCAGGTAGCGATAAGACAAAGGAATTAAGAGTCTGTGACACAAAAAACAAATGAGACAAAATACGCTACTTTTTAATCAAAGCCAGGGGCAAAAAGTAATTTTACAAAATAGCCATTTTAGATTTTTATTAAATGAAAAAGAAAAAAATGAGAACTTCCAACAAATGACTAGAATAAAATGGCATTTAGAGAAATAAAGCATTATTAACAATGCAGCAGATTGTGAACAGCGTAACAAAAATGACAGTCAAATCAAGGTTTAATTGAATACACATTTTATTACTACCTTTATAGATTTTATTTAAGTGGGTGTAGGGTCTCAGAGTCATACCTGCAGGACGTACTGCCAGGCTCGATCTACATCTCCACTGGAGCCGAAGCGTCTCATGATCATTGCATGCAGCTCAGGAAACTGAAGGAAAACAGGAGTTGTCAAAATGATGCGTTTGTTCTGGATCATTTGGATAGGTTTTTACAAACCGGATTCCAAAAAAGTTGGGACACTAAACAAATTGTGAATAAAAACTGAATGCAATGATGTGGAGGTGCCAACATCTAATATTTTATTCAGAATAGAACACAAATCACAGATCAAAAGTTTAAACTGAGAGAATGTATCATGTTAAGGGAAAAATCTGTCGTTTCCAAATTTCATGGCGTCAACAAATCCCAAAAAAGTTGGGACAAGTCCATTTTTACCACTGTGTGGCATCCCCCCTTCTTCTTACAACACTCAACAGACGTCTGGGGACAGAGGAGACCAGTTTCTCAAGTTTAGAAATAGGAATGCTCTCCCATTCATGTCTAATACAGGCCTCTAACTGTTCAATCGTCTTGGGCCTTCTTTGTCGCACCTTCCTCTTTATGATGCGCCAAATGTTCTCTATAGGTGAAAGATCTGGACTGCAGGCTGGCCATTTCAGTACCCGGATCCTTCTCCTACATAGCCATGATGTTCTGATTGCTGCAGAATGTGGTCTGGCATTATCATGTTGAAAAATGCAGGGTCTTCCCTGAAAGAGATGACGTCTAGATGGGAGCATATGTTATTCTAGAACATGAACATAGTTCTCTGCATTAATGGTGCCTTTCCAGACATGCAAGCTGCCCATGCCACAAGCGCTCATGCAACCCCATACCATCAGTGATGCAGGCTTCTGAACGGAGCGTTGATAACAACTTGGGCTATCCTTGTCCTCTCTGGTCCAGATGACATGGCGTCCCAGTGTTCCATAAAGAACTTCAAATCATGACTCATCTGAACACAGAACAGTTTTCCATTTTGCAACACTCCATTTTAAATGACCCCTGGCCCAGTGCAAATGTCTGAGCTTGCTTAGAAATGGCTTACCCTTTGCACTGTAGAGTTTCAGCTGGCAACGGCGGATGGCACGGTGGATTGTGTTCACTGACAATGATTTCTGGAAGTATTCCTGAGCCCATTCTGTTATTTCCTTGACAGTGGCATTCCTGTTTGAAGTGCAGTGACGTTTAAGGGCCCGGAGATCACGAGCATCCAGCAGAGTTTTACGGCCTTGACCCTTACACACAGCGATTGTTCCAGATTCTCTGAATCTTTTGATGATGTTATGCACAGTTGATGATGATAACTTAAAAGTCTTTGCTATTTTATGCTGGGTAACACCATTCTGGTATTGCTGCACTATCTTTCTGCGCAACAATGGTGGAATTGGTGATCCTCTTACCATCCTGGCTTCTGAGAAACACTGACAGTCTGAGAAGCTCTTTTTATACCCAATCATGTTGTCAACTGACCTAATTAGTGTTAATTGATCTTCCAGCTGTTCGTTATATGCTCAATTTCCTTTTTCCAGCCACGTATTGCTACTTGTCCCAACTTTTTTGGGATTTGTTGACACTGTGAAATTTTGAATCAACATATTTTTCCTTTAAAATGTTACATTTACTCAGATTAAACTTTTGATCTGTCATCTATGTTATATTACGAATAAAATATTGACATTTGCCATCTCTACATCATTGCATTCACTTTTATTCACAATTTGTTTAGTGTCCCAACTTTTTTGGAATCCGGTTTGTATGAAAACGGGTTGATGAGGTGTTTCACCTGCTGACAAGCAAACAGAACCGGTCCAGTGGCCAAACCCAGTTTTAGGTCAGCAGCTGTGGGTTTCCCCAGCTGATCCGCTCCTGACGTGAAGTCCAAAACATCATCTACTAGCTACAAATTCAGAAAGAATAAAATCAGACCATTGTTTTATGCCAGATCATTTCATCAATTTCTATACTACACAAAAATTATTACAATCCCATGAAAAATTACCTGGGTCACAATAAAACATAGATTAGATTAAAATGGAATCTCACTGCCCGGATCTCCAAATTATATTGCTTGCATCAACTCATCAATTTCAGAGTTGTATACATTTTTAGTATTATGCAGCTCTTAAAATATTCCGAGCATTGAAGTGAATTAAGGATCAGAATTCACCTGAAAGGCGATGCCGACGTTTTTCCCATACTGGTAGGCTATTTCATGGACTTCTGGGTCTGAGTTCACCAGCATGGATACCTTCAGATAAAGAAATGCAGCAGTCAACAAAAAGCAACAAGTGCAGAAAACGAGACTCCCCTCTACCGTTGAGCTATTCATGTGGAAACAGAACGTACATACTGCTTTACAGCTGTGCGCCATAAGACTCGCCGTCTTCTTGAAGGTTTTTTCAAGGTAGTGCTTGAATCGCTCGTTCTCGTTCTCTTTGGAGCCCAGCTGCATAAATTCACCTGGGAGAACAAGGCTTTGAGTTATTGACAAGTTCTTTCCGTTCGGAAGGTCAGAACGGGTTTGTAATCTACCTCGCACTAAGTCGTCTATCGCTTGGGAAAGCACTTTCACCACAGCACTGTTGCCGAGTCGAGCCAAGGCCATCGTGGCAGCTGAGAGGATGAAATCTCCAGCCAGAATAGCCTAAAAGAGACAAAACTTGAATTAAACATGCTGCATAGTGTTGTAGTACTCGAGACCAGTCTCAAGACCACTTTTTGATGGTCTCGGTTTTGTCTCGGTCTCGGACATTGAGGACTCTGAATTTTATTTCAAGACCACAACTGTGGAAATATCACTACATTGCCAGAATATTGTCCAGTTTATTTGTTAACATCTTTGTTTTTATTGGATGCTAAACGTACTGATTCAAATCCAAGTGATAATGTGACTCATCGCTAAATACATGTTTTTGTTACCGCTGTCACGCCCACCCCCTTTCACTCGCACACAGTTCTGTACCAACAGAACAATACAGACAGCAGAACGTAACGTCGCAACCAGGGGTGAAAGTAAACCGGTCCAGTACTGCATACCACTAGAAGATTCTGCACCGGTACGCAGTACCTGGAAGAGAGGGGAGCGGCTGTCTACTGTAAAGTCTCATTCAGAACCGGTCACGGCTGCACTTTGTATCAGAATAGATTCTCTAACAATAATCAGTCTAAAACACGACTTAATCAGTTAATAAATAGCTTTTTTCCTCATTTCAAATTGTTTCTGAACTCTCCGTGCTCTGCTGGAGCCTCGTTTCTCTATCGCGGTGAGGCTAGTTTTACGTCGAGCTCCGTGGCTTCAGCGGTGAGTTCTCGTCATTCGATCCGAAGCTCAGTCTGCCCCTCCTCCGAGATGTAATGGTTCGCTTAGGGACCGTCAACAAATTACAGAACCAAACACTCTTCAGAAACAAAAGAATAATATAGTTTACATCGTTTGACCCACTGACACAGAACTAATGTTAAACTACTCTAACAGACCTGACACACAAGACACCATCATTTATTTCTCATTTTAAGCATTTTCTAATTCGTTCTAGAGTGAAAAACATGATTTTTGAACAAACACATTATGTAAAATTAGAAAATGCTTTAAAATGAGAAATAACAAAGGGTGCCTCATCTGTCAGGTCTAGTAGAGTAGTTCAACATACATTTTGTGTCAGTGGGTCACATGACATGAACATTATTGTGCAAAAACCACTGACTGATTTCTTTATGTAGCTTTGAAATTTTATAAAAGCTCATACGTTCATTCAAAAGCAAACTTAAGTTGCAGTATGTAATTTTTAGAAAAGTTATATACGTTTTTTTACATATTTGTTAAAACTGTCACTATGTCATGACAGTATAGTATAAGACGGATAATCTGAAAAGATTAAGCTCCAAGGCTTGAGGTCTTGGTCTCGACTTGGTCTCGAACCCCAAAAGTCTTGTCTTGTCTCGGATTATGTGGTCTTGATGCTGCGAGAAGTAAAAAAAAAAAAGTCGTACCTTTTTTTGTCCCCACACAGTATTGATCGATCTCTTCCCCCTTCGCTCGTTCGATCCATCTATTACATCATCGTGCACCAAGCTGGCAGTGTGAATCATCTCAGAGATCATAGCTATCGTCCTTTGCCCTGGGAGTACATCTCTGCAAACAGCCAGCGAATAACAGGAAGTTAAGACTTTCATGCCTCATGGATCCTTTATTACAAAATGCAAACAGAATGTTGTGTTCAAGCGCGGTTGTAAAAATGAGCTTTTTCTTTACCCAGCTTTGTCGCTGTGGATGTTCAGGGCCCGGGACATCAGGATGACAATGATTGGTCGGATAGCCTTGCCTTTGCCATCAAAATAATAGTCACACAGATGCTTCAGTTCTTTCGTAGACACAAACAACTCCTGTGAGACAAAATAAAAGTCTATTTTTATTTATTTATTTAAAGTCTAAAGGTCTAATTAAAAAGGTCAAAATTGTCCGATTTTTAAATTTTTTTAAATTAAATTTCAGCAACACCTTGATGTCGTCGTATAAACTTGTCAAGTCTTTCTGGGCCAACGTAAAGGGGTCTTTAAGCTTGGCGTCGCTGTGCGTCGCTCTGCAGCAGCAACACTGTAATGTGGGAGGCGGCAACCAAGAGCTGTGTCTGCTGTGAGGGGAACACGGGCGTCGCAGTCAAAACACTGAAGAGAAGCTGAACCAGAAGAAATGAAGCTGGGTCGCGGCACAGCTCACCTGATTACAGATGGATTTAGGTGGAGAGCTTTGGAGTGGGTCTGCGTCGAAAACAAGGGTCTCCTCTGAAACACAAAACACATAAAGCCAATGACTCCAAACTAACTGTTTGTAAATACATTTCATCAGTCAGATTTATTTTGTAGTTAATTCACATAAAAAATGTGAGTTTTACCAACCAGGGGTATAACTCTACAATTTGACTGTTAGCTACAGAAGGTTAACTTTATGCCACGGTTTTAATGAGTATTTGAGACTCCAGTAAAAAATTTATGCATTTGAAGTGTGTTGTCCACTCCCTGATTTTAAATTCCTCAGCTCTTTTGTAATTTCTTCTTCTTCTTTCGTCTTTTCCCTCTTCAAGGGTCGCAACAGTGAGTCATCCTCCTCCATCTCTGTCCTCTGTCCTCACTCCATCTACCTCCATGTCCTCTCTAACTGCATCCATATATCTCCTCTTTGAACTTCCTCTGTCTTTTTCCTGGCAGCTGCATTTCTAACATCCTTCTACCAATATACCCACTGTCCCTCCTCTGGACATGTCCAAACCATCTCAGTCTGGTCTCTAACTCAACCTGTGCTGTACCTTTGATGATCTCATTCATTCTCCTAAGTTCTCCTAAGCAGAACCTCAACATCTTCCTTTCTGTCATAATCTGTCCTCTTGTCTGTGTTCTTTGTGTTTCTTCTCTCATTTCCTTTTTATGATCCTTGGGTTTGTCTCCATCGTGTGCTGTCCAAGCTACTGCTCCCTTCCTTCTTCACCTGTTGTCCCTCCCAGCCATTTGCCATTTGTCTCGTCAGTGTTTGTGCATTTAAGTCTGTGTCTCCTGCATGTTGGCATCTGGGCATTTTCTCATGAAGGCTCCTTGCTTGTGGTCCATGTCCTGCATGACATCCTGGTTTTTGACTCCCTTTATGCCTGCTCATGATTCATGTAAGTTGTTGCTGTCATGTCAGTCCTTTTGTTCATCCATCCATCCATCCATTATCTTCCGCTTATTCCGAAGTCAGGTCGCTAGGGCAGCAGCTTGAGCAGGGAGGCCCAGACATCTCTTTCCACAGCCACCTCTTCAAGCTCTTCTGGGAGGATTCCAAGGCGTTCCCAGGCCACCTGAGAGATGTAGTCTCCCCAGCGTGTCCTGGGTCTTCCCCGGGGTCTCCTCCCAGTTGGACATGCCCGAAGCACCCCCCTAGGGAGGCGCCCAGGGGGCATCCTTACCAGATACCTGAACCACCTCGACTGGTTCCTCTTGAACTTTTACTTTAGACCCAAGTTCTCCTGGTCCTGCCTGCATTTTGGGTCCAACCACCACCAGACTGTTACACTTTCTGCCACTTCCAGTTCTTTCTCCTGTCTTTTTGTCCATGTCTTTATCTCCAGACCAGACAACATAGCTGGTCTCACCACTATCTTGTAAACTTTTCCTTTTACCTTTGCTGACACCTTTTTGTCACAAATCACTCTTGAAACTTTTCTCCATCCACTCCTTCCTACCTGGACTTTCTTCTTCACCTCTTTATCACACTCTCCTTTTTCCTGGACAGTGGACCCCAAGTACTTGAAGTCCTGCACCTTTGTGACCTCTGCTCCTTGTAGCCTCACTGTTCCACCGGCCTCCCTCTCATTCACACACACGTACTCTGTCTTACTACGGCTGACTTTCATTCCTCTTCTTTCAAGTGCATACCTCCACCTCTCCAAGTTCTCTTCCACCTGTTCCCTGTTCTCACCACAGAACACATTGTCATCTGCAAACATCATAGTCCACAAGGATTCCTGCCTGACCTCATCTGTTAGTCGGTCCATCACCAGAGCAAACAAGAAGGGGCTCAGAGCTGATCCTTGATGCACTCCCACCTCCACCTTGAAGCTGTTTGTCACTCCTACAGCACATCTCACCACTGTCCTGCTGTCCTCATACATGTCCTGTACCTGTCCAACAATCATTGCCACTCCAGATTTCCTCATGCAATACCACACCTCCTCCCTTGGCACCCTGTCATATGCTTTTTCTAAATCCACAAAGACACAATGGAGTTCTTTCTGACCCTCTCTGTACTTCTCCGTCATCATCCTTAAATAAAAGATGGCATCTGTGGTGCTCTTTCTCAGCATGAAACCATACTGCTGCTCACAGATAGTCACCTCTCATCATCTCTAGTCTAGCTTCCACAATTCTCTCCCAGATCTTCATTGTGTGAATGAAGATCTGCCTACTGCCTTCCCCTTCTTCATTCTTTTCAGAGCTATCCAATTTTCCCCCTCACTATTATTTCCCACTTCCTGGTCCACAGTTTATATGATCTCTACTCTTCTTTCCCTTTCATTCTCTTCATTCGTTAGCTCCTCAAAGTAACTCCTTCCATCTTCCCATCACTGTCCCATTGTTGTCCAGAACGCAGCAGCCCGATTTTTAACCAGTACAGGCAAAAGAAAGCACATTACACCAGTTTTGGCCTCACTGCACTGGTTACCGGTTCACTTTCGAATCCAGTTCAAAATACTCATGTATGTCTACAAATCACTGAACAGTGTCGCCCCCCCCATCTCTCTGATCTGCTACAACCGTATGTCCCACCACGTTCATTGAGGTCAGCAGACCAGTTGCTCCTCACAGTTCCAGGAACTCGTCTTAAGCGCAGAGGGGACAGGGCCTTCTCTGTAGCAGGACCAAGACATTGGAACAAGTTACCTCTGCTTGTCAGACAGGCCCCCTCCCTCTCGGTTTTCAAGTCCCGTTTAAAAACCCACTACTATTCGGTAGCTTTCAACACCAGATGATCTGTGTTTTGAACCTGTATGCTCCACACTGGTTAGTCGTCATTATCTGCATCATTTTTATGTCTATATTTCTGATTTACATCAGTTTGTATTTTGCTTTGTGTGTTACCTGTTGTTCTGTCTGTACAGCACTTTGGTTGGCCTTGTCGCTGTTTTAAGTGCTCTATAAATAAAATGGTATGGTATGGTATGGTATCACACTCACATCACTTGTTAGACCATTCCCATTCCTTTCTTTAACGAGCCTAACCTGCTGCACATCCTTTCCAGCCTGATCCCTCTGTCTTGCCAATGGATACAAGCTCTTTTGTAATTTTGTAGTTTCAAAACTGAGTAGTTTTGTTTAAGAAGTCAGTAGTAATTTATGTTCTTCTGTTAAAATAATGAATGAGACGTTTACTGACTTCTGACAAAAACTAAACACATTAAGTTAAAGCCATACATGCACATTTTCACCTTGATATAGATTTTAACTAAAGTAACATCCATTAGATGTTGTAACCATCAGTAAAACACTCATTATAAAATTTATAATGAATGTAAATTACATGTAACGAGCACAGCCACGAAATATGTCAACAGCTCAGAGAAAACAGAACTAATCTGAGGGTTTACACTACAACTAGCCGGCTGCCAGCTCCGCGGTGGATTTGACCTTCCAGGGGTTTGACAGAACTTCCGGTTCGGTCCAGACTCACCTCATTTCCCGGTCCGGAGCTCCGGGACTCCCGGCCGAAACTGCACACCGAGGAGGACATGGGCCTGCCGCTAAAACCCCACAGAGTCTCGGTTAAAGTCGTGCTCGTACAGCCTGTACTCAACCTTCTGTAGAACCTCCACCACGACACCGCCATGTTTCCGGCCGGGAGCGTGCATCAGAACCGGTTATATATTTTGCCGGAAACGGAAATCAGTAACCGGGACTTTCACAATAAAGTTAGCAGCAAGCCGAGCCGACCATAGATATTATATGACTAGATACAGCATTGACCGCTATCGCCTATTGGCGCTGACGAGATTTAGGGCCGCCATCTTGAAACGGTCGACCGCTCCACTCAGTGTAACCTGTTTCTCAGGAGCAATGAAGTATTTGCGCGTTTAATCAGTCAGAGATGAATACTAAACTCATTCTCACGATTTTTTCCTCTGTAAATCTCAGGAGTACAGCCATTAAAGCTGAACACATGGTTCAATGTATTTAAATATTCTTGGTGGGGTTAACATTAACACTAATAAAATATTCTTATGACACGTTTGCAAAACTCAGTCACTGATACATTTTTATTAAGATATATATATATATATATATATATATATATATATATATATATATA